GGTCAAATAGCTTTATGCTCCGGAAAACAGCGACCATTGCAAAATCGCCAGCTTGATTTTCTGTCCATGCGTTCAAGTCCCCTGGCCATTAGACACGTGAGATATGCTATGCCCCGTTAAACGCTTTTTCCCCGTTTTGTCTTCAGCCAGTTCTTCGATGGACGTCTCTCTATGCATACATCTAATTCTCAACATGTTGACGTTTTATGGTGCACTTACTGTTTTGTGATACAATTCATTGCGATTTTCCTTTTAATGTGCGACTAAGCTATTGGAATGAGAACATTGTAGTTCGGGAAATCAGAGGGAAAACTGAGTGGAAAACCCATATAGGTGGTCATACAGCATTCCAGAGAGAAGACCTAATGGACATTGTAACAAGAGACAATTAAAAAAATAAGGCAATTGAAAACAGAAAATCAGAAAAAGGGCGACTTTAAAACCATATTTCAATCGTGTGTAGGCAAATTTTACAGTATATCCTCGAAAATAGATCCTATATATTGGATCCTATTGGATCCAGTTGGTTGGTCGGTTTGCCAGTACTTCAAGGAATATTTTTCATTCATTATTTTTTCCAATTGTTTACTGTCATGTTTCAAATAGAGGTCAATAAAACAGGACATAAAAAATAGGGAAAAACATCCCGTTGCTGTTGCACAAGTACTGTAACCTGGCTTAATAAGTTGTCGACCTGAGGCGAGTTGTATCGCAGGCGTTGCCAACATCTATGAAAATCCTTGCCGATAGTGAATGGTTCGTACGAGATAATGAGGAATATCCTTATAGTTTGACCACACTGCATATTGCCACACAGTGTAGCGGGTTAATTTGAGAGGTCTGACATAATGTGGCAATTTTAAAAGCTCATGCCTTCGTCAATACAAAAATCGGAACTTTACTGTCTCGATTGGTTTGCTCGTAAATTTGTCTTAAAGAGACACCTCGTAAACTTTAATAGGTGTCGTAATAAGCACAAAAAATTTCAGTTTTAGTCAAAAAGTTAATTTTCGATCTATCCAAATGGCTTGTCCCACTGTGCGACTTACTGGTTGAACAGACGACTGATCACGATCATCGGACCGTAATCATAGCTGATGTGTTGAAGTGTGCGTAAATGGTGTGTGCTCCAAGGTCACGGTCGGAGTCATTAATGGTAGTGCGTAAAATGATCGTTTTTCCTATCGATGTATGCAAAAAAGGTGAATCTATGAAGAGATTTAATCAATCGGAGGGCTTTTATTGCCGAAAGGTAATGAAATATCAACACTTCATCAGCAAAAGAATGAAAGGACAATCATTCACGCGAGGATCGTATATATCCTGAAGCTGCGGTTGCGGGATGATTCACGAGTATTTGATGAGACTCAACAGGATGCGAAGAAAGTTTCTTACCTGGAACTATGCTGCCCAGCTAAGGAAAAACGCCGTATGAACCTTCAGGCGTTGCAAAATTTCCTCTGAAAAAACGCGAATTTCCTGGTAAACTTATGAATGTTTTCCTCACAATTTGCCAGATAATTTTGTTCGCAATTTCAACTAAACATTCTGAAAATTTAAAGGAAAAATATTCTTAACTTTCCTCAAAAATAAACATTTTATCGAAGGAAATTTGGCAACTAGCAAATGTGCATACGGCGTTTTTCCTTAGCACCGCAGTATGCAGCCAATAGGATTTTTATATTATTGCTAAAATCAGAGGAATATCATGTACTGTTTTTTTTTTTTTTTTTTTTTTTTTTTTTTTTTTTTTTTTTTTTTTTTTATCAGTCTATATGCCATTTATGTAAAGAATATGGCCTCATTTAGAAATTATTTACTGTCAATACCCACTAAAATCATGGATTTCGGCCGAAAAGATCTGTAGAATGAGCTATATAATGAAAATAAAAATGTTGTTAAAATAAATAAAAAAGGGAGCTTACGATTTATTACCATAATTTTTCCCTCGGCATCAAGGAGGAAATGCGGTTCGGTACTTTTCGTTCGTTGAATAAAAATCCCAGTACCGAGAGAGTTGGAGGATTACAGGAAACCGACCAAAATCCGGGCCGGACGACAAGTCTCGAAGTAATCGATGTACATCTCTGGCGGTTCATGGGCCACAACTTATAAATATGCCAATTTTTGCGGTTACTGCAGTGCAAAGCGAGAGAGCGCCGAAGTTCCGCTTTGATTATATTTAAGGTCAATATAATAATCAGTGGAATCTCAAAAGGCTTTGACATTGGGCATTTTAATACTGATCAATCACTGCACACACATACGAGAGAACAAATCGACTTGATAAAGAATATGTGTTTAACTTTTGAATCATCAAATTGACTTTGAGTTCAAGTAACTGAACAATATAACTCATGTGACGATATGATTATCAATTAACTATCAATCGTTCGTTCAACATTATTTTAATATTTCATAAAAAAACGTCGCGCAAACTTCTTTTAATTTTTAAAGAAGGGAAGAAGGATTGCCAAGGTTATGAATCTCATTTTTGCGATTTCCGAAAAATTTTGGTAACTTTAGCAATCTTGTTTTGCAAAGCGTTCTTTTGCTTTCTTAGAAAACTCCCATGGCTACTTTTTCACTCCTATTATTGCAGGTCCCATTTTTAGCAAAATGCAGTTACTACTTCACCCATGCTGGTAGTTATTAGCAATGCTTTCATTCCGGTGGAGGAGCTTTTAAAGATGTGCCAGAAAGATCGATTCCTTGTCACAAAATGTAGCTCAATTATTCATTGATCTGTATATCGATGACCAAAGTGCGAAGCCACATACATGACTCTATTGCGATATTTCAAAATTTCTGCATGCTCCTATTTTAAATTTTCAAAGAGAAACATGCCAAATTTATATCTTTAAATATATACAGATCATTCTGATACCAGAGTAGAAAAATTAAAGAAGTCATCAAGAAATTACGTTGACTAGTCCCCCCCCCCAAAAAAAAATAAATAAATAAATAAATAAAAAATAAAGAATGACAGGATTCCTGCAACGGTGCAAACAGAATATCGACGGCGTAAGTCGGCAATAACATATCGACGGTGAAACTACCAAACCACGTATCTCGTTTGCGGTGTTTAAAAATCTACGCTCACATTTTATTTTTTTGGAGTAGACCAAATCAATATCATTCCTTGAAATTTTCACGGAATTTTCTCCGCACAAAGAGGAAAAATCACAGAAATTGTCAAGACTGGATGTTAAGTAGTTTTTCATTTAAAAAATAAAGTATGACAGGAAGTCTGCGACGTCGCAAACCGAGATACGTGGTTTGGTAGTTTCACCGTCGATATCTCGTTTGCGGTGTCTGAAATCCTCCATGTCCATCCTCCATCCTCCATTGTCCTTTTTTTCAAAGGAGAACGAATTGACATTATTCCTTGAAATTTTTGTAGACTTTCTCTACGTACAGAGAAAAACAATCACTGCAGTATTAAAGAATTGCCGTTAAGTATACTATTCCGTTTAGAAAATAAAGTATGACAGGAAGTCTGCGACATCGGAAACCGAGTTATGTGATGTGATTGCCATCTTACACCGCCGATATGTGATTTCGTACCTTGACCATCGATGTGCACCTCTTCGGAATGTGAATTGGGTATACAGAAAGGACTTTTACTATAATTTTCGAACTGGCACGATTGTTTAAACCTCATGGTGAGGCAAAACTTACGATAGAGAGCAACGCATTAGGTGTTACATGATTGACCTCTCAAAATCAGTCCGATTCAGTTGCAATGACCCCCTGAATTAGTTCGATAGCTGTGCATGTGCAAGTGCAGAGATCTGCGGGTTTGAAGAGAGATAATGGGAAGCCATGAACTAAACACTGAGGTCAGTTACTGTGCAGATCCTGTCACCCACTTCATTTTATATCTCCCGCCCAATCCGTTGGGTGGATGACATAGAGTGGTCCCCTAGTAGTAGAACAAATTTTTGTTTTTCTAAAAAAAGTATAAAAAAACATATCTGTTATCTAAATGATCGTTTTATATAAAAAACGTGTAACGCTTATATAAAAAAAAATCAAAGTCCAGACCTGACCGTAATATATGAAAAATGATAAAAGCTAGATAAGGTAATTTTTTTTTATACACACATTTTTTACTTTTTTATATAACGCATGCATACGAAAGTGTTAAAAGTGAACATTTTTATGTAACGATTATATAAAAAATAGGTCATTATTTTCGTGAGCTTTTCGCGAATTAGAAGAATTTTTTGTATGTTCGCGAAAAGCTCACGAAAATTATAACATTTTTTTATATAATAGTTACATAAAAATGTTCACTTTTAACACTTTTGTATGCATGCATTATATAAAAAAAATTAACTTTCGTACATAATATTTATCTTTTCCTTACGTGGTTCTGCTTCGAGGGTCTTGGTCCAGCAGGTCGATTATTGAAAGTTTGTTTTTTTCTATTAACAAAACAATACGAAGGCGATGGTGGAATGGAGTTTTGTGATTAGTCAATACCTTGCTCGCAATCATCGCACTATTTTTCGTGCCCGTATATTTAAGAATGTCATACATCAATGCAGACTAATTTTAAGTTATTTAAAATTGCATCATAATATACCATAATTGATAACCCTAAACAATAATGATAAAAAATTTAAGGGTAATTGATCACTTTTATCCTAAAGAAAAATAATTTTAAGTCTACCGTTGAAGAGTTATCTCTTGAAATTAATTATTACTACCGCGAAAACTAGTATTTAAGAATATTAGAGAAGTAAAATTACATTGAATAAGACCCGTCTCATGTGCGATTTGTCAATATGATCTAATTTCAAGCAGAGTCAAAAAAACACATTGTTGAATAATAACGTTTACAAACTTGCGCACTTTCGGTGCGCGCCAAAAAATTTGAAAATATTTGAACTTCGCGCGCGCGGGCTTTGATGATGACGTATCACCAACGAACAACGCTGACGTGTTCTCCGATGTTTGATGATATTCGAAGTTTTCGCGTTGAATTTCCGTTGAGGTTAAGTTTGTGTTTTCGGCCAAAAAATAAATATTTACCTGTACTTTTTCGTTTTTCTTGGCAATCTCGTAGTTTTCAGCTCTACAATTTCATTACTAACTTTCTCGACAGGTTTTTAACGACAGCCGGCTGAAATTTAAAATTCTTTATCGTTTAGTTTCAAACTACAATGATCAGAACTTTCAGAACCTACTTATCAGGTGGTTGTGTTTGTACGTGTGTTCTTTCACGCTTTAAAATTTCTTCAAACCCTCTCATAATTTGATGTTTACAAACCAGAAACTTTTGCTTAATAAACAGTCATTTTGATCTTTGACCATCATGGCTGAAGCGGACCCTGGATATGGTACTTCACTCTCTATAGAGTCTATGAAAGTTATTGCGGAAAGTGTCGGACTTATGAACCTACCTGATGATGGCGCCAAAGAATTAGCGGATGATATATCATATAGACTTAAAATTCTCTTACAGGTAAGTCGAAAGGTTCTTCTAGTTCATCCTTGTGTAGAGAAAATGGACCATTTCCATGGCTTTTTTCCTGAATGTAAGAATGGTGTCAACGCTATGATCTGTGATCAAGTATATTCTTGTTAGAGCCGGAATTCACCCAACTGCAATGTCCCGACCATTTCAGATCAATAATTACATACAGCTTTTTTCAAGTTCATTCAATTATAGCCTCGTTTACATAATTTTTCACCCACACGTACCGATTTCACCTTAGAACAAAATCTCAATTTGAAGATGGGAAATATTACGAGGGGGTACCTCTGCAGCTGTTTTCAATTATATATTCTTTACCATGAGATCATTCAACCGTATTCTCCGCTAGTTTTTTGGTCTTTTCAAGATAAAAATACCTATTAAACCTCAGATATATTTTTAGTTTTTTAGGTCACTCCTAGCCGCAAGGAGACATGGTTTAAAATTATGCCTTGAACTCGTCTTGCCTCAAGGAGAAAAACGAAATGAAATATTATCATGTCAAGTAAAGACCTTTGTGTTTAAGTTTTCTTGCTGTCATTTTCTAACAGTAGTACATTCCAATCAAAGTTTTTAGACTATCTTTTTAAAATTTGAAAACTATTAATATTTTACGTTATGCTTTCAGGATGCTACAAAATTCATGCATCATGCTAAAAGAGAGAAATTGATGCCAACAGATGTTGATAATGCACTGAAAATAAAAAATATAGAGGTAATGTACCAGCTCTGACTATTTTGACCATAGATTTAATTAATCGAGGACTAAAGAATGTGATATATTCTAAGAAAAGTCTGGGTTTAACCCATTCGCCTCATTTGATGAGTATACCTGTCTGAGCGCGCCTGGAACATAGCTCAGTTAACAAGTTAATTTGCGCTCTCTGTCGGCGTTGCTACGAGTTTGTTTCGGTTGTTTTTTTTTTTCATTTTTCCGATGGATGGCATTGTAAGTGTATTGCTGCGGACTGATGGTACGATTTAACTCGTCACTGAGCCATGTCCTAGGCGTGCGTTGACAAGTATACTTGTCTTATGAGACAAATGGGTTAAATGAAGTGGGATTCACAAAAGTATCTTTATAAAATCATGGAGTGGGACCCTGGAAAGCCCTGTAACTCCAAGCCTTTTAAGATCGATTATAACGCATGATGAATCTTGGTTCCACTAATAATATAATTTAGCTCATCCCTCCCTCGCCCTCCCTAACCAGCGTTTTAGTGGAAACTATTTAAGTACCTATGTTGAATCCGAATTTTTTTTTCTTAAGATTTATTTTATTGTAAGCTTCCAATACAGGAAACATATACAATTAGGTTAAATTATAAGTGATATATGTAGAAGTAACAACAGATTAATTACTTAATATCATAAAAGTTAAGATAGAAAGTGGTAAAATAATAGACCACTAGACAAGGTACGAAATTAAGCATTCTGATACATGTTTCTTAACCAAAATTTCATGTAGAACACAATTCGCATAACAAAATTTACTGAAATCAACTCCTAATAAAGATATTTAATGTTTCTTGACGCGTGAATTCAAACCTCCCGCTCATGTAAACTCAATGGTCTGCGTGTGTCAAACCAAGAGCACACTGAACGTTATCATGGCAGTCTCTGCAATACGGAAATATAGTAGCCTCAATCTTGACGCTTTGGCTTAGCTATGGCAAATTGTTTACACTTTGAACGTTAAAGGTTGGGGAAGACACAATGTTCGATTGAGAAGCTTGCCAAAACCGTTGTGATGCGCGATTTGACTCACGAAGAGTATTGAGTTTCTTGTGACCGGGCAATTCAAAATTCCTGTAGACAATGTAAAATCAAAACATTAATATCTTAATTAATAGTTGATTTCAGTAATTTTTTATGCAAGAATCGTGTTATACATGAAATTCTGGTTAAAAACATGTATCAGAGTGCTTAAATTCGTACCTTGTCTAGTGGTCCACTGACTAACTACAGTTACTCGATTATATAATTTTAAATATTTAAAGTTTAGGACTCAGAATCAGTAAAGACATTCATAAAGATTGAATCGATTATTTATTTATTTATTTAATAATTTGTACAATTGAGCCTCTGGCCGAGGCTATGGCGCACGTCATTTATTCGGTATATGGTGAACAGTTATATACAGTGATATACATATGGTACAAGTGCAAAATAATACTAGCCTACAAGTTCTTGAGGGTTAAAGAATGCTTTTTCAAATAAGAAAGTACGCAGCCCCATAAAGAACGACGTTAGGTCAGCATTGCGAAAGTGTAGCATCACACTCCAGGGCAGTGCGTTGAACATCTGTATTATTTATGGTATAATCTCACTCTGATCAGACACTCTGCCAAAGATTATTAATAGCCACTGCACACTTGTCCTTTTCCAAGAAAATATGCATTCCTGGCATAGTAAATAGCTGTCCTGTTTTAATCATGGTTTTTTTACTTTATTTCAGCCAACTTATGGCTACCACACCTCAGACCACATACCGTTCCGGTTTGCATCAGGCGGTGTTCGTGAATTCCATTTCATCGAAGAGAAGGATCTTGATCTCAATGAAATCATCTCCGGACCCATGTCGAAGCTACCTCTGGCACCCTCCATCAGAGCACATTGGCTGTGCATTGATGGTGTGCAGCCCACAATTCCTGAAAACCCTCCCCCAATATCCAAAGACTTGCAGAAGCTTGAGAGCATCGATCCTATTACAAAGCTGAAGTCAAACAAAGAGAAAGAAAAGACTGGGAAGCCCACAACTGGGTGAGTTCATGTTATCTTTTTGTGAAACTTAAAAATTTTACTCTTTTGTTTGTTTATTTACCCATTTATTTTTTTAAATGTTTTAATTTTTACAAAAATTTGCTTGAAAATCATACTGAACAGTGTTTGAATCTCGTCGAAATCTGCAGGAGTCTCTCACGCAAATGACCCAATTTTAGGGAACAACCAATATTTATCGAAATGGATGTTTTTAATGTTAAAAATAACCTTGCAGGTTCGCAGATTTATTGCAACGCAGCAGGATCGAATTTCTTTCAATTGTAATCACACTTTTGAGGAATATTACTGATACCGGCGCATGTATATTTTTGTGCCAACTTTGGCTGAGGCTCCAATTATTTAGGTGCCAAAGCAGAATATTTAGGCGCATACGGCACATGGCACCTGTAGGATTGAAACAATGATCCTGAAGTGTCACAACAGTATCTCATCATTCTACAATTTATTATCTATTTATGACCAACTATAGTAAAAGGGCTCTTAAATTTCAATAAATAAAAATCAAGGCATTGGACCCACACTTAAAGTGGATTATTTTGATCAAATTCAGCCCAATAACATTAAAAATTTAAGCACATTCATTGCTATTATTTTGAACTTTAAAAACACAAAATTTATATTCTGAGAAAAATTCAGTTAAAGGTTTTAAATTGCTCCCACTTGTTTGACGACCCTTATTTTCGAGGTTCAAGACTCAAATCTTATCCATGTCCAAAATTTCTTTAGTTGGATTTTGATACAGGCTTAAAACTTTTAGTTCAACGCCTCTCTTCTCCCAAATTTTGAGAATTTGATATCTTGGATTGGATTTTAACCACAAATAACCACTTTTTTGGCCTAGCTCATAATTTATCCTCAAACCTATGTTCCTAGGAAACTCCAAAAACTACGCAATGTAGAAACAGTTCATGTGAAACAACTTGCCACTCACGAACTATCTGTGGAGCAGCAGCTTTACTATAAAGAAATTACTGAAGCCTGCGTTGGATCAGATGAAGGTCGTAGGGCTGTAAGTATATTGTTTGCGCAATCTAACTCCAAACTCCTCAAGAGTCATGTTAAAATAATTGAGTGCTTGGGTGCGAAAAAGGCATATTGTTAAACTATGAAGGATATTCAGTTAAATTTCCACCTTTTTACATCACTCTTTCCCAGTTAAGAGTAAAAATGTAAAAAGAAATTCTCATGGAAGTGTCAATTTTTGCACCTAAGTCCTCCATTATGCCTTAAGTTCCATTCAAAATTCACAAGTAACGTGAACTTCTGAGAAAAAAAAATGATGGTAGAAAAAGTATTTCTCAGGCGTTTTTTATTTTGGTAAAATAATGATTCAAGGAGGGCAAAAAGTTTAAAATACCTGTTACTTTTACTCCTCCAATGAAGATTGTAGGCACAATCTCCCTTGCGAAGCCAAAAAATACCCATTGCAGGATCATGGACTCAATTTTTTCGAGAGAAGTATGATGAGTATTTGCGTTACAAAGTCTTGCTGTCACAAAAGTAGCTTATCCTTTAGAGGAATCAGTGTATTGGATGTGGAATTCAGTTTATTGAATTTGAGTCTTAGGCCCAACATGTTAACTATTTAAATGATGGTTTCCCTTTTTTTTATTAAGTTCCATTCATGAATCTACTCACTTTTCATATGGGCTGTTACTGTGGTAGGGTCATTGGTACTTCAAGAGATGAGCTCTAGTTAGTTCCTAGTAAATTAAACACCAACTTTCCTGCAAGTATTTTTTGGTTCCATTTTGCAAACTGCTTTCATCCGAGAGTAATTCTATTTTATCGTTATTTTTTTAATTTTTAGGAAGCTCTGCAAAGTTTAGCCTCAGATCCTGGACTTCATGAAATGCTCCCACGAATGTGCACCTTTATTGCTGAAGGTGTTAAAGTCAATGTTGTTCAAAACAACCTTGCCCTCTTGATCTATCTGATGAGGATGGTGAAAGCCCTGTTAGACAACCCTTCGCTGTACCTCGAGAAATATGTAAGCTGTCATGATAATTTCTAATATTATTTTTCATAAGGTTGTTTCTTATATTGACCACGCAGTGATGTTGAAACTAGGAATGGAGGTCATATGTTGATAGACGAGAAAAATTTGGGGAACTTCAGTCTTTTCACTCAAACAAAATTCTGAAAGCCGTTCAATGCTTGAGCATTAGTTCTAAATTTTGGTCACTTTCAAGGAAATTTGTCAATTGTTTGCGCAGTTTTATATAATAGTACTTGGTTGTTAATATTTTAGAGCTTTTAAAGTCCACTGAATAAATATTAGAATGCAGATAAAGTTTGTAGGAGAAACAATCTCTATACACTGTCTTTTACTGAAAAAGAAACTGTTTTCAAAATTATTCCTATTACAATTTGTTGTAAAAGTTATTTTTCCCAGCAGATTTATGCTGCTTCGAGCTTGATTGAAAGTGGAAGGTAAGTTAAAGTGACCAATGGAAAAAACCCCAACTAAGATTGTCATGGTGCATCATAAATGATTAAAAAAAAAAACTTTGTAACTGGTCAATCATTTTAAGTGAAAATAGAAGTCAAATCGTACAATGTAGGAGAGAAGAATTGTAAAGGTTCTCACTCATTATGTTTCATTTTCAGCTTCATGAATTAATACCATCGGTGCTGACATGCATTGTTAGTAAGCAGCTATGTATGCGTCCTGAGCTTGACAATCATTGGGCATTAAGAGATTTTGCATCTCGTTTGATGACGCAAATCTGTAAACACTTCCACACCTCCACGAACAATCTCCAAACCAGAGTTACACGGATATTCTCATCAGCTCTTCAAAACATTGAGACCCCTTTGCCTTCTTTGTATGGAGCATTACAAGGTATTGTATCTAAGTACCTCAGTAATCCCAAAGTTAGATGAATATTAACTGGTATATTAGTATTTCAGAGTTCAACTTAGAAAATTACGACGGTCAATTCTTAGAGCCAGAATAGGCTTGGTGTAGAGTGAACACGAGTTGAAGAATAAAATTTGCTCAAGATGTAAGAAAAGTAAGTTATTAAGTTCAAATTATAAATGAAAATGGTACATTTTCCTTAAATTTTTTTATTATTGTTTATTGAAAACTTAAGCATAAAATTTGGCATGGGGAAATACTTCCTACTAATTACGTATTTGATTTTTAATCATCATTACTTAAATATCTCTTCTCTCGTCAATCTATCCAATTGGTTCAAGCACACTTATCTACTCCGATCATCTATAAGACAAAAAGAGACGGCCTTGCTTCCCCTCCCCCCCCCCCAATTTCTATTTTCTGTAATATAATGAACCCCCTGATCAGAACTAAATTGTTAATTTATTAATAAAGTTCATTCATTAAATTTATTTAAAACTTTAATTCAAAATTGCCAGCAATTTGCCTTTTCTAATCCAACAATGATTTATTTACTAAATGAAACTTTACTCAGTTATAAATAGCCAGCTAATTAAAAAATGTCTAGAAATGTCTAATATGAAAAAGATCTTTAACGTCCCAAGTAACCAGAAATATGTGGTATTCTATTGAAGTTTCTATTTAAACAGGCTTTTTCCCCCTCACATTTACATGGTTTTCTCTTTTCTTTTTTACAGGTCTTTCTGAATTAGGTACAGAGGTGATAAAAGTGTTCATTTTACCAAGAGTCAAGACTGTAGCAGACAGAATCGAATCATGTCTTGACGGACCCTCCCTTAGCAATATTGACAAAATTTCTGCTGGTCACATAAAACATTTACTAGTGGTCAGTATAATTACTTTTTCAACTGGATGAGTACCCAAATTAGATTTTCTGTAGCCCAATTAATGTGCAGATCGTCCTCACATCATTTTTCCCCCCATTATTGTCTTTACCTCTGTTGAGGTGAAGATATCAATGACATAGCAATGTCTATCCTGCAATTACATACCTATTATTGCTGTAATACTAAAAGGTCAAGAGACGCACTTAACTAACAGGAGGTTCTTTGGATTTTGCTTTTTTTTATAATTAAGAGTATTAACTAATAAATTTATGGAAACATGTTCGTTTCAATCTGTCGTTCCCTCTTCCTTTCTATTTTTACCATCTAGAAACTCTCATGATGATTATCTTTCTCGGCTCGGCTAACTTTCCTTTGTATTTCTCTTTAAGTTGTTGGGAAATAAGAGAGTTGCACGATCTTGAGATTGTCTTGAACTCAGATTTGTATGTACCTTCTATGTTAATGTGAAAAACGTGTTTTTGATCCATGAAAAGTGTAAACAGATTTGTCATCAAAAAGAAAGGTATGTAAGTCGAAGGAAGAACTAGAACAATACTAATTGTCTGCATGCCTCTGATGTCATTAGCAACATCAAAATTTAGATTGATTTTTGATGGTTGAAAATATGTTGCGCCAGGTTGAAATCGTATTAAAAAAATGTCTTTAAATTTTAGAGCGGTCGATACCAGAGATAATTTAACGTAGAATGGTATGAAATAATAATTTGTTTCCAGTTTTTGTTTTACATTCTAAGGGAAGGATAGCTATAATAAATTTTTTATTGATTCTGGTTTCAGAAAGTATTGACTCCTATCCTAAAAGTAACGAAATCACCTCCGGATTTCATTGATGACTACAGGAATGAATTTGGATGCCTTGGGCCCGCTCTTCAAGCCTCTGTCATCAAAGCAAGAACGCAGGCCTCCATGCCAACTCCGGTAGTTACCTCTGCCGCTGTCACAACGACCTCCTCTATCATACATCCTGCTGCTGGTTAGTTTGTAAAGTTGTTGACTGACAAATGAACAGTTTTCAGGATGTGATCATGTGTACAGGAATGAAAATTCAGTAAATGACTACACTTTGTTGCCCTCCTGACAAAAGGGCATAACTACACCTAGAGATGATCTCATGAAAGCATTGAGCTGTAAGGACAACGGTGTTCATCGTGAAGTGCAGTTACGTCCTTTTGTCAGGAGGGCGACAATTTGAAGAGTAGGAATACCAAACATCTCAAGTGCCATCAAGCTTTGCAACTCCTGGAGATTCAAATACATAATTAAAAATTTCAATAGATAAATTGAAAAGACAAATATCCCTCTTAAGAAAATAAATTTTTACTCATATCATAAGTACAAAATGTCTACAGTGTATTGTGTTAAGAAATATGCTCAAGAAGTTCACATTCCTCACCTTATTCAGGTTCAATTCATGCATGCAAATTCTATCCTGGTCACCTCGGCAGCAAAGAATTTTGCAATTTCTAACCACAAGGGTGGCAGTAGAGGTATTTATGCGAGTGATCAAAAATCCCGGTGGCAATATTGTCATGACGGTTCTTAGATTGAGATTGCTGGTAGATAGAAACCGCCAGCAATTCTGTGTTGCTGGTGATTTGTAACTACTCAGAACCGAATGGATGCACTTCACGCATGGTACGTTTTCGTCCTGCAGCGGCATTAGGGGCACAATCTAGTATGATAACTGTGGGTCCATCAGTTATGAAAGACACGATGCCTCAGTAAGTCATTGTGGCAGAAATATGGATCGTGCGATTCGAAGACAAGCTGCAGTGACTTGTGTGGGTCGGCGACAAATGGCAGAAGTCACATGCATAAATGGGCCCTAAGGAGTTGCTGTCACTTGTCTCTTGAACTACTCAGTGAAGAATTTTCAAGGACAAGGAATCAAACGAATTCGATGGTTTCTCTTTAAAAACCAAAGTAGTAAAGCTGTTTCTCTAAGTAAATTGAGTTAACTGTAAAATAGATTCAATTTTATAATATTTAGTCATTCATTGAGTGTTTTAATACTTCAGCAGGTGTGCCAAATCCAACTAGGATGGTATACTCTGGTACCAGACCCGTCAGCTTGGCGAACAATCCACAGAAGTATGTCATAGTATCTTCACGGCCTCAAACTCCTGGAAACATTGTAAGTTTTATAAGTATTTTTACGTTACTACAGCAAATAACAACTATGAAACTTATCATTCTGCATGGGTTACTTAAAGGCTAATCATGCATTGCTCATTAAAAAGTGCGACCTAGAAAGTAAAAAAAAAATACAAGTACGTGAGAAAGCTGGCTGAGTCAGGGCAAGAAAAGGGAAAACTGAGAGAGCTGTGTATTTCCGTAAAAGATTAAATTTTTTTGCATTACTTTACCACACTTTGATACTAAGCCCTGCGGCATCCTCCTTCTGTCTGTAGTGTATTTTTTCCTCAGAAATTCAATCCCCTACTTATCTGTACGGGGACTTTGCTTTCAGTCATGTCTATTTTTACGTTTCTTTTGATTTAGAAAATAAAGCCCAGGAGAATCAGGAAAACTCAGGAAGATAGAAAATCCAAGTGTAAAGGGAAACCTGGAAAGTCAGGAAGAAGGGAAAGACCGACTATGCATTCTGTAATGTCCAGGCGGGGAAAAAAACCAGGTTTTTAAAAAGGGGGGAAAAACTTACTCGCATGTTCTCCCAAGTCTGGAAAATGGTCTCTATTATTTCGTATCCCAAATCCTTCAACTGAATTTTGAGACTCTCTATTTTTTCCATAGGGTTTGCAGCAAGCCACTCCTGCAACAGCACAAGCTAGTGGTGTTCGATTCCAGTCAAATTTCAATGCACCAGTGGCACACATTCGACCGCATTCATCGATCACTCCTAATCCAGTTACGAAAGTTGTCGTTGTGTGTGTTGCCAACTCAAGTACAACAAATTCAGGCCCAAAGGTACTTACATTGACCAATTTTTCTAAATGTATCTTTTTTTTTTTTTTTAAATCTTTTACAATTCTTTAAAAAGATAAAATAAACAAAACCGGGAACATGTATAGATGCATAGAACAGCTTACTTCTTCAATTTATTAACTAGAATGTTTCCATAATGAGCCTTGAAATTAACTAGGAGCATTATACTGGAGATTGTCTAGCAAGCAAGAATTTCATAGGCCTGCAAAATGTGCTTGATTGCCGAACCAGTGAATGGCGAGCTAATGGCATGGCACACTTCTCCAAACACAATGTAAACTCTGGCAGCTGCTGTATAGGCAATTTGCACATCGGAAGGTCTGTGTAATGGTGTAGCATTTGAAGTATGTCTACAATATTGAAGGTGCTATTGTAGTGCTGACTCACTGATATTTGTGTGAATAACTGCAGCTGTGCCAATGTTTTGTTGATATTACGTAGACAATGCTTATTTCTCGGCTAAAATTATTGCTGCACTCGGGTTGTTTCTAAATCAAACCAAAAGGAGTGATTTCTTCTTGTATGATGCAGTTTAATTGAAAATTTTCACCTAAGCAAGGAATAGTGCATTATTCCTCTTTTCTTATACATGATTCATATTGAGACAAAAATCAACCCAATTGTTTTCAAAACTTTAATTTCCTCCCTTTTTTCCCTCTTTTTTCCCCTTTTTTTAGAAGATTAAATGATGTATGTAATGCCTTAAAACTCTCTGGTGCATTTCCCGTTCCCTTAGATATTAAAGATTGAACTCACACAATTTCAAGTCAGAATAGTGCATGTTTCTCTGTGTAAAAAAATAAACCAGGAAGGGACGCATCTCTGCCGTCCATAGGAAAAACGCCATAAATTCTATCAAGACTCTATAATTTTCTTGCACACATACTGTTGATCACCATGATGCTTCATTTTGAAAAGTCAAATTCTCAATGGTTTGCCGCACTTATCTTGAAATTAAAACTGAAATGGATGTTGGTTTTTCTGTAATGAAACATTTCGTCAGTAATAAGCTGAAAAAATCCTCAATGTAGGTACGGCGTTTTTGCTAAGGACGGCAGATCTATAGTTAGGCTGATTCTGGTCCATGATTTTCAGCTCCTCCAATTTATTCCTCTTGTTGAGAATTATCAATTAATTCTTTGTTATTCTTTATTTGCAGAGTTCTTAGTCAAATCTCACTCGAAGATTTTAAACGTCAGTCAGGAACTTGGACCATACAGATCCTCCAACCCGACGTATTCTTCTCAGGAAGACAGGAGGAAAAATAACTAACATTTGATCATGGGTATAAAACAGTCAGGATTTATCATAGAAGAGTAAATTTCTAAGGAAAATGAGCCATGTCTCTTTAAACCGAAGACTTTGCTCTTAGGAGGTTGGATGTCTAAATTTCAACGTTTCAAAAATAAAAGGATTGAGTGTTTAAATAGGCAGAACCAAAATGTAGTTAGTTTAAGCATATATCAAACAAGGTTTAAACCTGCTGATGTTCAATTTTTTTTAAGAAAACATATTTTTTTCCTTCCTCAAGTATTTAATATGCTTTGGTTGAAGTAAAAACGAGATCAGAAAATTTTCCTCTCCTCTCAAGTATAAATATCTCACACCTTGAGAATTGATGGACCGATTTGGTGGCTTTTCATTCTTGCAATATTTGACTCATGGAATTGCAATGTACTGCATAATTGAGGGGCTCAGAAGACAAGGCCCATGAGTGCAGTTTTTGCTATTTCGAGAAATACGTTGATGGCAAAACTACCAGACCACGTATCTCGTTTGCGATGTTTAAAAATATTCTCCCCCATTTTCTTTTTGTGGAGAAGAAGAAACCAATATCATTCTCTGAAGTTTTCACATGTTTCTCATCACACAGAGAAGAAAAATCACGGAAGTTTCAAGAATTCTTGTAGAGTCATTTTCTATCCAAAAAGTAAAGTATGACAGAAAGTCTGTGACGCCGCAAACCGAGGTACGAGGTCTGGTAGTTTCACTGTTGACATGTTTGAAGTTTTGAAATCACATGTATCTTTATGGCGGAAAAAAAGTGCAAACTGCCTTTTTGATGCTTCAAGATTTTAATTTTGGAGCAAATTTTTTGCAGAATATGAATAAAGACTAGTTTTACTTGAAATCATTAATATCTCAATTTTTTCAAAAATTGCTTGTATGCGCCTTGTCCTCCAATCCCCTAAATTGATTTGCAATGGTTCAAACCAAAATAAAAGGTAGGTACTAAAAATCAATGACAATTAAAACGTTCCTTGGTACTGTTGCGAAGATAAGAGCTCCTTCATGTTGTTTCTCTTCTTTTTATCCTCTTTTGATCGGATCACTAGACAAGGTACAAATATAAGCATTCTAGTACATGTTTTCTTTTCAAAATTTCATGTAGAATACACTTTTCGCAACAAAAATTACTGACATTAATTCCCAACCATGGTACAAACGTTTTTACCCAGCTGTAGTTTAAACTAATTCGAATTTTCCGCTCACAAGAAAAACAAGAGTCCATTTGAGTCGAATCTTGCATTACAATGATTCTGGCAAGCCCCTAATCTCGTAGTGGCCCTACCTTGTCCTATGTTGTTCAAAGTGTAAGCAACTTGCAACATCAGAGTAGGAGCTCCGATATTGGGGTTGCCAAATTTTCATCCAAAGAGACTGCTGTGGTAATGTTTAGTGTGCGATTTTATTGCAGTAGATTATGGTGTTTTTTATGAATAAGAGGTTTGATCTATGCATCAAAAAACTTTAATATTTTCTTTAGGAGTTACTTTCAATGATTTTCCTTTTACAAATTGTGTTCCACGTTAACTTTTAAAGAGGAAACATACATCATAATTCTTAAATTCGTTTCTTGTCAAGTGATCCTTTCTACTAATGAGGATATCATATGCTACGGTAGGAGGCATCAAATCAATCTAAATTAGTTTCTACTTTGGTTTCTTATTTTTCTCTTTTAAAAAGCTGTCTTTTTCCTTTTTCAGTGCGAATGTTTCGCCAGAAATATTCATTTAATTTTTTGTAAACAAATACAGTGTTTATTACTACATTTTTGTTTTCCTTTACCACAATTTGACTAACTTCATGTAGAAGGAATTAACAATAAGTACATTGAAATTTTTCATGAAACTGTGCAACTTCTTCTATCTTCCAAAGAACTGAGAAAAAAAAAGGAAGAAAGAATAAAAAAAGTAGAAGCATCTTTTGCACATAAGATAATACAATTTTATTCAAATAGACTACATTTTGCAATCAAGAACCACAATTTCAAGCCCATCTGTAAAGACACTCACGTGCATAGGGAAATTTATGGTACATACGTCGTTTCTAGACTGAGCCAGACATTGTAGTTCCAAATTGCATGGAGTTTGAAAGAAGTTCAATTCAATTTTATTTCATCTATAAACAAAAAAATCAAACCCATAAAGGGAAACGATTCAATAAATTCTAAATTTTCAATCACTCAGTTTTGGCATGAAATTTCGTGACACTCTAAAAAATTCAGTCGGCACTGAATGAGTGATTTTAGTGCTAATATGGCCCATATGTGGTACTTTCCTAACGCTTCTATTTTCACCTCCTGTTTAATCTAACAATATACTTACCTCCAAGTTTAAAAAAAAAACTGACTACAAAAAATGGAATTAATATATTCTTTGTAGAATGTTCATTTGCAGATAGTCGAAAAGGATGCTAGAAAGGAGAATAGGTCTTCTTTGGCTCATTGATTCAAATATTACTTTTTTCGGCCTCTTTTTTCTCAGTACATGAAAGATGAGAAACTATTATAGTCTCTATGACAAAAATAATCAAAGGAGCGTAGGGTTTTATCCATAGTCGTTTCTTAAACAGCTTTTTCTTTTTCTCAGAGAAACCCCATACGATTTACACTGTGGTTAAGGGAGGTCAAAGGAAGCTTTTAACATAGCAATATAAAAAGGACAATTTTTGCGAACCTCCGGTAGCATCCAGCTGTGTAACCTCGGAAATGAATTCTTGTCAAGGATTACAATGGTTTACCTTTACAAAAAATACAAAGGCAAATAGGTACCTGCATTGAAAATTTTTGCAAATTTTTAGATAGATCTGGTCTGTATTCCTCCCTCCCTACTAGCTATATGCTATGCTACCTACTAGCTATTAAAATTTGTTTTTAAAAAACTTGAAAAAAAAAGTATTAAAATTTACATGGAAGAAAACTCCTTTTGGGATTTTTTTAACGTAAACTTCCCAAGAGGCAAAATTTAAGTACCTAAAACAAATGTTAAAAAACTCTTTGAAAAAACGTGATTTTTTAAAACTATTTTTTAAAGTGAAACTTACCAACCAAAAAGAAGAGAAAAGTGTTAGAAAACCAGTGTATCATAGTTAGTGATTTTTAAGAGTTTTGTTAACAATTCTTGTATTAAAATTTGACCTCTCGCAAATGATACGTTAAAAAATACCAAAAAGGGTATCCTTCTTCGTCAATTTTAACTGTCTTACCATGAGTTTTTTAATTCAAAGTTACACGTTTTTCAAGATATTTTTTACAGTCCGAAGTTCGTCGAACCTAAAAAAGTTCTCTCTTATAATACCTACATTGAAATATTTTCATTGGGAAAGTACTGTAGTCTATTGCAAGGATTCATTTCCGAGGTTAAATAGCTAAATTTTATTTTATCCCGAGGTTTGCATAAAATAGTCATCTCTAAAATACGACTCGCTGTGTCTCGGGACATTTGGAGCGCCGCTGAAACCAATCCTTAAAATGTGCTTTCCTAGCCCTCTGTTCGCCGAAAGTTGCGACCTATTCGCGACAGTTATTAGGGCCGGCCAACGCCGCTCGGCGCAATGCTAGCCCAGTAATGTATACCTTGATGCTAGCCGAGAAATTGCGGGTCGCGAGCCGCGAGTGTTTTTCGGGATTTTATTACCTACTACATAAGCACCATCGATTTTTCGCAAACTTTGACGAGAATGTCAACCAACGTCATGAGAAATTTAAAAATGTTCAAAACTCCCGGTTAATACGTGATATTATTTTCAATGTATAGGTACCCTCTCTAACCTAACTTAACACTCGTGCCGTGTATCAATGTTTTGATTATGTAGATGGAGTCTTTCCAGTAATTCATTCTCAATAGACTAAAGTGAGTGTGTTTTTGTTGTTTCATAATTAGTGTCAAGTGGAATCATGGTAATAGATATGTGCATGGTATTTTGCGTGCACAACTGTAGCTCCAGCAGAATCAGTAAAATGAACACGGAGGCAGAGTCTCTCAAGTGAGTGAGTACCTATAATCTATAATGGTTAACCATTACCATAACGGCTGTCTTACTTAATTAACAAATGTATTCAATTGTCATCACTTCATTCCATAATCTGGATCTTTACTTTAGTAACTAGAATGCCTAGCCTATTGGTAGTAGGTACTACGGTAATGTTTCCATGATCCATTAAAGATATGTGTTGATCCCGCAAGCAGATTCAAAGCACCGCGTTTATCTGCCTTCAACATTGAAGCGTTAAAGATTTTATCGCAACACCTTCAATTTTTCTTATTTCTATTCAATTTTACTTCAATTTCTTCTTTTTCTTATTTTCTTAGGGGTAGAGATGGTCCTCTGAACTTAGAAATGAACTGGTTGATATTTATTACCACAGCCTCACATACTTACTCAGATGTAGGTAGTCATATATATGTAAGCTGAAATTTACCCAAATACCCCGAAACCCTCATCAACCTAAGTACGACATTGAAAGTCTTAGCCATTCATACATCTCAGCTTGGCTCCTTAGTTGCCAGGTGGGCGGCCCGCAGCTTGGGCTTTTTAGGGGCCAGGGGGGCGACCCCAGTCTTTGGCTTCTTAGGGGTCAGGGGGGAGGCCCCCGGCTTTGGCTCCATAGTTGCCAGGAGGGCGGCCCCCGGCTTTGGCTTCTTAGGGGCCAGGTGGGCGGCCCTCGTCTTTGGCTGCTTAGGGGCCAGGGGGGCGGCCCCCGGCTTTGGCTCCTTAGGGGCCAGGGGGGCGGCCCCCGGCTTTCACTCCTTAGGGGCCAGGTGGGCGGCCCCCGGCTTTGGCTCCTTAGGGGCCAGGGGGGCGACTCCCGCCTTTGGCTCCTTAGTTGTCAGGTGGGCGGCCCCCGGCTTTGGCTTCTTAGGGGCCAAGGGGGCGACCCCCGCCTTTGGCTCCCTAGTTACCAGGTGGGCGGCCCCCGGCTTTGGCTCCTTAGTTGCAGGTTGGTCACCTCCGGAGTTTTTTCACCCTAAGAATATCGAATGACATTGCTGTAATATGTACCCCGTTGCCTGAAGTCAATGATTCGCCTTCAAATGGCCGGGTATGCAAAATGACTGCCGTGACGCACGAATAGTGGTATCAAAATTTTGCATTAAGTTTACGGATTGATTTGAAGGCGCGATTTTGCTTGTAAAAATACGTAGGAACTGGTGTGTATAATATGTTTATACAACGATAAAAACTCCGTAGACACATCAATTCAACAAAAAAATAGCGAAAAATAAGGCCGGAGTTTGACCCCTTTGCACTCGAAAAAGGTTCCTATACTCATCTTTAAAGTTTTTCCTGAGTTTTCTGTCATTATAAGCCTCCACTTAAACCTTGGTTCGATGGTCGAATCAAATACCGAAAATGGGGCGAAATTTTGGGAGGCTCTTTAGGTGAACTGCGCGTAATTTTGCACGACTTCACGAAACCGCCGGAAATAGCGCACATGTACCGCAATATTGCCGTGGTTCTCGCACAATTAAATTTATAAT